CTTCTCCGGCAACTTCCAGGCCTGGACGAACTTCTCGAACATCATTCCCATCCTTGCTCTGCACCCAAAGCTCTCCTCCTTTGCACTGCAGACTGCTGTTCAAGCAAACGATGGTGTTCTTGCTCCCTTTCTGATTCTGACTGTCTCGATGCGGCTTGAAGGTTACATTTCGTGCGAGCACGATCGTTGTGAACTGTACTCCAGGCGCTATCTTGTTCATCAACTTACACAATACCTTCGTGAGCATCGGCCTTTGCATACACATTCTGGAGAGACCCCTCTTCTGTCCGTGAGTCCACAGTCCAAGGGTCCACATAGGAATAACCCCTCCAGATGCGTCCTCACTATCAGCGTTGCTCCTCCTGTGTCGCTGCAGGGGCAAGTTGATCTTCTCAATGAGTCTGAGCACCGTACTGCATGTGATGTGACTGTCACCCTTGGCTAACAGTTCCGCTGCTTGCTGTTCTCCTGCCTGGGTCACCTCATCAATCACCATAGCCTTGGATTCTTCAGAGCACTCCGCCTCAATGCGAATCTGATCCATCGGGTTCGCGATCTGGATTTTCATGGCTTCTGACTGCTGGCCCTCACTCTGAGAATTCTCTTCTACTGTGGTTGCCCTGCATGTAGTTCTCACTGACTTCCACTTCTGGGTAATCAAGGGACGAAGCTGCTTATAGGTTTCCCATTCCAGGTATGGCAGTCCTGCAATCACTTCCAGTTCATACCATGTGGATCCAAGCTCCTTTGGAAATCGTAGCCATGCCCCATGCTCTTCCCAGAGGAAAGCACAGCCGATGCGGATCAACTTGCATATTCCACAAATTGTGGAACTGCTCTCAGGGCCTCCGCGGATGAGAATTTCCCCATCTCTGTTTCTCCATGCTTCAACCTCTTGTCCATCTGCAAGCTGCAACGGAGTGTATGCTGCACGGGGAGGAATTTTGAATTGTCCTGATCTGACAACTTCGTTTGCACCACTGTCTAACAAAACACCTTCGGTCTTTGCAGCGGCTACTACTCCCTGACGTGCTTGTGATGGTTCGCTGTCCCTATGTTGCGGTCTTGAACGCCTCCGTGGTGGTCCTACAATGGAAGGAAACACAGGCACTGACTGAGGATACCCCATCTGACTTCCGGACGCTGCTGAGGACACCTGAGTCTGTATGGCAGTCGGGGCTGCTGATGACTCCTGAGTCTGTGTGGCGGTCGATGATGGTTGTTGTGGAGTTTCCTGACTCCAAGGCCTGACAAGTGGCCTTGATGCCGAGGTCAGTGCCACCGCAAACACTTCATTCTCAGTCTCGAGATCAATAGCCCACCCCATGTATGCCGCACGCGCGGCTCCATCCGCGCATCTCACAAACACTCTTTCTAGCCGTATCAGCCTCTGTGTTGCAGAGATCTCGATGTCCTCTGTAGGAAGTTCATTCTCAAATTCCGAGGCTGCCAGCACGATACACTCTGCAATGCTATTGGGTGTTGTGATCCGTACGAAACTGCGACTGGCATGCGCACGCACCCAATTTGGAGACAGTTGCTGTCGCCACTGCAGATACTCCTCTGGATTCAACCGCAGAAGCCAAAGATCATCCAATGGTGCATGATGCAAGCCTCCCGGCTCTGGCTCTTCAAGTGGTTCGTAACATTGTGCCATGAAAGCAAATGCCTTCACTGCTGATGCTTTTGCTTTGCCTTTTGGTTTGCCGTTGGGTTTACTGGCTGCGGCTGCCGCATTCCCACTGCTGGAATTTTCTGTTCCTACTAATGGTTCTCTGGGGGGTGCTGCTGCTGCCGCTGCTGCCGATGCTTCCATCTCCTTTCGGAACTTCTCGTCATGACTGAAAGTGCAATGCTTGCGATAGCATCCAGCAGGGGTGAAGTAGAATCGACAAGGTTTGTTGCTGCGCTTTGTGGTATCATCAGGCTTCGTGTCCTTGCTCTTTCCTTTGCCATCCTTGTCCTTTCCTTTTCCTTTTCCATTCTTGTCCTTTCCTTTTCCTTTGCCATCCTTGTCCTTTCCTTTTCCTTTACCCTTTGCTGCAATGCTTGCATCGGTTTGTCCAGCTTGACGATTGTACTTGATTGTCTCATCTGCACTTAGGATTTGTAGCTGCTGTTCAATCAGACGAATCATAGACTCCACTCCCTGAGCTGAAGGACGCAAGACATCCGGCTGAACCCTGAGTAAACCCATCAACGTCCTGAAGGCCTCAGACTTTCGCTCCAGGGTCTTGATGAGAGAGCTCAGCGCCTGAATTTCTTCAAACGGTGCCACAGCTGGAAGTTGTAGATCTCGTGCTCGGGTGCGTGCCAGTTTCCATCGCCTAAGTGTCTCCAAACCCTCTTTGGCGGTATGAGCTGGATCCAGATGCCTGACAAAAGCTTGAATACTCTTCATCTCCTGCTGTCCGCCCGGCATCTGTTCCTGCAAGACGCATTCTATCAGATGGATGCTGCGCAGCTGCTGTTGGCCAGTCTTCTCAAGGACAGGCTGTTTCAGTTCTGTCGGCAGGCATCGAATCAAAGTAAGCGTCAAGCGATTTTCATACTCCTGGCAATATGAACTGATTTTCTCAAGCTCTTGGTCATCAAAAAAACCCTCAAGGCGTCGTCGATGTCGCTTTTCTGCAAGTGTATACTGCTCATGGACAAAAGTGCCAAACCTGGGGCTAACTGTGGATGCCACCGTTTCCAGCTGTTTCCACCATGTCTGCAACCGCATGTTGCACTCCCAGGCCTCACCACCTCCTACTGTAAACGCAGGTACATCAAGAAGCAACTTCCAACGCCCATGAGGAACAGATTCATCTGCTACAGGTGGCGCGCGCATGAACTCTGGTGGAAGCCCTGGAGGTGCCGACCAACTCCAATTCCATGGATTTTCCGGATTTGCCTCCGTTTGTTCATTCCACTCTGTCCAAGCATTCTCATTTCCACCGCACCACCAGTCTTCTTCTGCCTGAGCAGGATCGGATTGACCCTGTTGATCTGGTGACATCTCATGTATCACCGGTCCACTTTCCTTACTTCCACACTCATGGATCTCCTCCCGGATTTGCTCCAGGCATGACTCGATCTGGCGGGTCCGCTGCTCACACGTTTGAGAGTCGACAACGGCCTTTTCAGCCACCTCTCCCACTCTCTCATGAAGCAAACGTAACTCGCTCTCCACATGACTGCTTAAAGCTTCTGTCCTCTGTAACGTTTCCACCATATGCGTCTGGATTCTCGAAACCAAATCAGTCTCTTGTCCAGATTCTTCAGCATCTTTAACTGCCCTTTCAAGCGATGTTTGCAGATGTGAAGATACAAGCTGTGCTCTCTGCATCTGGTCCTCAAGTGAATTCACACGTCTGTCCAGATGTTCAGCCAACTGTTCGAATTTGCCATGCAGCTGCTCAAACTTGGCTGCCGCAATCGCCTCAGCTTGTAATGTTGTTGTGCCCTCCAGCAGCTGTACCCGGGAACTGAGAGAGTCACTTATACTACTCTGCGCCTCCAACCTCTGCTGCACCATACGTATCTCTCCAACAGTTTGCTCTCGGAGTTGCTCCAAGCAAAGTTGCTGTTCTTGGATCATCCCTGCCATCTGATCAACACGACTCTCAAGGACTTTACATCCCTCATGTAGCCGCTGTGTGCCGCCAGATACATCTTGCAACATGGACGCAAGTATGCTCGTACGATGTTGGATCCGAGCTGAAAGCTCCACCATCGCTGCCTTTACATCACTCAGCACATCCTGATCCAGTTGAATGGAGTCTCCGAGTTCACGTAGACTTTCCAATGGTAATGTGACTTGCGTGAGCGATCGAAAGGTCATGGTGTTGCTGTCAACTATCATCTGAGCTGCTTGTGACGCTGATGCTGCCGCAGGTGTCGTTGGTGCCTGTTGTTGTAGCTGCAGCTGCTGTTGTGCTGGTTGTAGCGGAGAGTTTGGGGGGTCGTTTGGGCTCATAACCTGTTGGTTATGAGGGGCATGTAGAATTGGTGATGGGGTGTTGTTCGGAACGATGGAGAAGTGAGAAGGTGTAGGAGATACTGGAGCCCGGAACCTTTCACGAATTTGCCAAGGAACATCATCTAGATGATTGTAATGCATAACATACGACGACTCAGGGGCCTCCAGGCTTCCAAACCCAAACCAAAATTCCCTTTCCCAATCTCAAAACCACATCCCCCTGGGCAGTGCACTTTCAGCACTTCGAACTCTGTGCCCTTCATAGGTGCTTGAGCCACCATGACATCCGTCACAAGCTCGTTCTGCAATTCACAACGATATGCACTTCGGCACATCCTGGCTCATGCGCAGGGGTCATGCTAATCTTCTCAAGTACTCAATCACAAGATCGAGGTGGGAGCTACAAGAGGTAGGCCAGCTAGGGGTAAGACAGGTCGAATACAGGAGCAGGTCCAAGGCTGGACAGCCGGAAGGATCCGTTTATCATAGGTGAAAAAGAACCACGAAAACCCAGACAAGCGGCAAATGGGCCGATGACAATCAGCAGCATGCCCACGCAGATGGCAACACAAGGATGCACTGGACCTTCAGCAATCACAACGCCGTGGCTCGGCCCTTGAGCTTCTTGGAGTAAGGAGCTACCCTTTAACTCTCCCCGCTGCTGTCGGCCTGAACTTTCATCTTGGGAGCGCTCGACCTGCGCACATCAGGGACTTTTGAGGCTTTCTTGCACCCCCCGGCTGCTGGTGGCGGCCACCTGAAAATTCATTCCAACGGACCGACTACACTTGACAGACAAGTCTTCGGCTCGAGCCACCAAAGGCTCTCACATAGCAGAACTTCGAGCAGACTGCTGCAGCGTGAGAGTGAGAGAGAGATAGCGAGAGAGAGAGAGAGAGAGAGGAGAGAGTGAGAGTGAGAGTGAGAGTGAGAGTGAGAGTGAGAGTGAGTGTGAGTGTGAGAGTGAGAGTGAGAGTGAGAGTGAGAGTGAGAGTGAGAGTGAGAGATGGCTGCTAGAGGTACTGGCAGAGACGTCCTTGATGCCTTTGCTGAAAACAGACAGCTGCGCACGACAGAGCGCGCCCGACCTTAACACGGAACGAAGACCACTCTAGGGCATCAATGCACTTGCACAGCAACATGGCAACACATCGCATTGCCCAGGCGCCCAGGCTCGTCCGGGTCAATAACAAAGTCAGGAGGAGGAACGCCAGCGACGTCCCAGGTAAGCCCTGAGGTCAGAATCAGAAATCGTACGAACCGCTGCACCCCGCCGCACCCCTCCGTCACCGCTCGCCTGCGAATCTCCGAGCTTTCGCCTCGGTCGCCTCTGCCTCAGTCGGATGCCAAGGATCCGCGCGGCTTTTGGAGCTGCAAGTACCCTGGCGCCCGGGCTTCTAGAAGCTCGTTATCGACGAGTTCGCCGGGCTTCGAACTCGGCCTTGGCTTCTTGCAACACATTTCCGTCCAATGCGAGAAAACGGCCTCTTTTTTCCACCTTTGGGCGCTTTGCAGGGTCGGGAGAACGGCGCCATTCTCAGCCCTTGGTGTTCTGATACTCTGCCCGCAGCTGCTCGTACCGCTGCAGGTCCTGGGCGCGCACACCACAGAGGCTGCAGAAATCGCGTTTTGTTTGGAACAAGGCTCTTCCAAGGGCACGGAAGGTTGCAGGTTCGAAAGCGCCTGCTGGAAGTGCCTCCAATCTCTCAGCTCTCACTCTCCGGCCCCGGGGGTTTTCGCCTTGCAGAGTCCGCCTTAATCCCACCTGGACTTGCAGCGGATGCAGCAAGTCGAAACCAGACCTCCGCCATTCGTCATGCAGCTTCCGCATTTTTATCGCACCATGTGCGGACTCTAATAGCTCAGCAATCCACAACATCTTCAATGTTGAGGCATCACTTCCCTGCGGACGAGCATGGGAGAGCCAGCCTGAAGTCACGGAGAAGAGCAGCTCGAGAGCATGCAACGAGATCTCACAACGATGCCACCAACTTCGCCAGAATGCGGCGAGACAGGTCTTCGAAATTTTCTTCGGAGCAGCAGGCAATGGCAAAACCTGGGCGGGAGAAGAAAGAAGCATCAGTGCTGGGAGCTTTTCACTTGGGTCACCCAGCCTCGTCCAGGCCCATGGCTACCAGAGACATTCGCAATCACGAAAGATTCCTGCAAGTCTCTGCACTGTGAGATTGGCCGGGCTGCATATGGCGTATGGCTGCTGCCTGAGCCTCTGCACCGTACAACTGCAAGGCCGATGCACGCCCGGGCTCTGCCTGGCAGCACCGAACCTAGCAGTGTAAAGGCCTCCGGAATGCTGCACGGCTGCACGAACTTCGAAAGGGCCTCGTCTGACACAGCCGGGAACCTGTTCGGGATGAGACTCCACGTGACGAAACACCCTTCGAACCCGGACATCATCATGGCCAAGACACAGCTGCACCAGCGCGATCCCATGTGAGGCGCTCATCTTCCAAAAGGCATCGTAAGTGCGGGGGCCGCGCAAAGCATCGGTGAGATGAAGCTCCAACGCATCCAGAAAAAGCAAGAAGGTGCTGATCGGAGTCTGCAGCAAATCAGCAGCTTCGTGGAGCTTGGAGATGTGCTCACGCTGTGCGATTCCGTACGCATCGGCACATAAGACAGAAACATCTGCACCGGTGAGGTTCGGAGGGCAAGCCTCCGCAACCGCTGCAAGAAGATTCGACGCACGCTTTGTCCCGTTCGAAGGGGCGGCTGCTTCCAGCACAAACTTCCGTGTAATGGCAGAGAGCAGGGGAAGCTTGTCGGCTGCGACGCCTAGGTACACCATCCGGTCCAAACGTCCCGGACGCAACAGCGACCGATCCAGCAAGTCCGGTCTGTTTGTCGCTCCGACCATGAAGACTGTGGAAGGCATGGTATCTAGCTCTGTCACGAGCTGCGACACCACTCGGTCCATGACTCCACCAGAATCACTCCCACGACCACGTGCAGGAGCCAAAGAGTCGAGCTCGTCGAAGAACAAGACGCACGGGGCTAAGTCTCTTGCACTTTGAAACAAGGACCTGACATTCTTCTCACTTTCACCGATGTACATGGACAGTAGCTCGGGCCCCTTGACAGACAAGAAGTGAACCTTGCACTCCGTTGCAACTGCCTTTGCCAGCAAGGTCTTGCCAGTACCTGGAGGCCCGAAAAGCAGAACACCGCTTCGAACCTTTTGACCTTCGAACATTTGTCCCTGCGACAGTGGCAGCGTGATGCAATTCATGATCTCCTCCTTTGCATCTTGCAAACCACCAACATCGGCCCATTGTATCTTGGAAGCCAGAGTCACTGCAACCTTTGAGCCTCCTTGCAACCGCTTAACCGCCTGCTCCACAGCTTGCTGGACCTCAGAGCTGGCCGTCGCCGTTGCTTCCAGGCTGCTCAAGGCTGACTGATTCATCGCCAACTCGGCACATACGGACCGCAGATCACTGTAAGACAGGCCGGCCGTCAGCTTTGTCACAGCTGCGATGACCGTCGGCTCGGTGTTCTTCTCGCTAGCATCAGACATTCCATTCATGACCACGACGGAGTTTGGTGGGGGGCCCTCCACTCGCTTCAGCAACTCCGAAATTGCAAACTTGCGGGCCACCTCGTTTGGCCGAGGCACGGCCAACTCTTGACTGAAGCTCTGCCGAATGGGTCCCCCGAGATCATCCAAGCTCTCACAAGACCCAACCAGCAGCACCAGCGGACTTTTACCGCCCACCGAAGGACTTGTGCGAGCCTTTTGCAAGGCGCTTTGCAGGAAGTCTTCAATGCGACGCTGCTGAAGCAAGCTCGCAGCAGGAGACATGGTCGCCCCGGAGCTGGACAGGGCGTGCAACCTGCGCAAGCATAAAACGCACGGCGACACCCCTGCCGCCTGAGCCAAAGCTTCTGAAAGCCTGGCCTCGAGTGTGCCCAGACCCTCTGCTGCAAGAGCAGTGCAGTTCATCTCGAATAAGTGTAACCCAAGCCGTTCACACACACTGTGCCAGAGGACCCGTTTGCCGCATCCACGCGGTCCAGAGACCAGAACCGACGGCAAATCTGAGGTGGCACCGAGCTCCCATCCACGTACGCATGGTGCCAGCATCCCAAGCAAACGTTCTGCTGGGCCTTGCAGTGATGGCAGGGGCTGGGGCGGCGCCTGGCAAAACAAATGACAGCGGCAGTATGGCAGGCCACGTGCCTGACTTTGCCCTTTCAGCAAGATCTGAGCAGACCGGCTGTCCACCCTGAAAGCTGTGCTCTGACTTTCGCGGCCTTCGACGACCTCCACTTTGAAGCTGAAAAGGTCGCAGAATGTGGCGCCATGCAAGGGGTCTATCAAGAACCTTCTAGATCGACCAGAACAAGCCGCCATCTCGTACACATCGTCGCCCTCCTCGCCGGGAGGCATAGGCTGTCTGGGTCTTTTTTTTGCCGGATCTGCCGGAACTTCCACTTCGCAGAGAACATCTGGCAAGCCATCCACGGGAACGCTGAAGACCTCGCCTCGCTTAAGCACTCGAGGCACATGAAAGAAGCTTCTCAGGGCTGCTTCGCTGCGAAAACGCATCATGGCAGTTTCCTGGCCCAAAAAGCATGGCACGGATGAGACCACAAGTCGAGAACACTCTGCGGGCGCCAAGCCTTCTCGAAATGCGACAGACACTTCGGTACGACCTGGGGTCGAACCCAAGAGTTCAAGAATCTGTGCGGGCAAGTGTATCAACGGTAGATCTCTTCGTTTGCGCCAGGGCGGAGGTGGACAAACCAGAACTTCTGACGAAGCCACCAGCCGAAGCCAACAAGGATCGTGGGAGGCGAAGGAGTTTGGCCGTGGTGACACCACCAAGATCCAGTCACCAAGCCGCGCACCAAGCTCGGACAGCAGCTCCTGGACCGAACTACTTTTGGGTTTCGGGAGGGCCGAGCAATGATCCACACAGCAGTCCTCTGACGCGCAAGCCTGCCATAGGAGAGTTCAGGTCGACTCAGACATAAGAACCGTCGACTGCTAAAGCTTCGGACCATCCCAATCACGATAATTACCTAGCTTACTGTTTCCCTGCCTTGAACGACATATAAACGCTCTGTGCACCGCAATATAGTAACAATACGCTTTGGAAAAAGTTAAGTTGGTGCAAGCATGGACATGCATGGACATGCCCCCTGGCGTCAACAACGGAAAGAAGCATCCTCCCGGCCAGGTTCTTCAGAATTACAGGATGAGCGGGAAGCAAAGTACTCCAAGATGCGATGTCATGCCGGCCGGGCAAAAGGGCCTGGTCCCTTGATGTGGCTGACGCAAACCAAAGCTGATCAGAGCTGCGCAGGGAGAACGGAAATTCCAACACCACTCCTAAAAGCAAAGATCTGACAGAACCTCTCGGCCCAGCCTCGTGAAAAGTGTCTCGTTCGTGACGCTGTTGACGCCCAGCGGCGGAAGCGCTGCTCAGTGGGTGCAGGAGCCGCCCAACCACAGCCGCTGCATACCTTGAAAAGGCGCGACCCCGATGCCACGGAAGAGTTCCAAACGCAAGTACTGCACAAACTCAACAACCGCACCAAACTTGCAGACAGGCAGCTTATGCTCATGAAAAGCTGCCGTTCCTTCCATTATTCAGCTGCCATCGCATCATTCCATGGCATCTTAAACTGGCATTACATGTCTCCCCAAACTATGACATGTCGGCAGGACATCGGGTTGTAGCTTGCAGTGCAGATCTTCAAGTTTGATGCAAGTCTCTGCATATGTTCTCTGCCTTCTGACAGGGACGCTGTCACATGGGCACGTCCATCCAGTACTTATTAAGCTTCAGCTGGACGGCGCACGCAAGAATCGTTTGCGACGCTGTTGCTGCATCGACTGCTCCGTGGCTATCCTCCTCCATAGCGGGATTAGGACCGCACGAGAATATACCGATGAGGCCAGCCGATCCTGCTGCACCCAGCACCTCGGGCAGTTGCCGCAAGACGACACCGTAAGCTTCCACACCGCTGCACACCGCAGCCAGCCAGAACTAGCACTGAATCTCCTGCAAAACAGACTACCACTGCAGCAAGGGCAAGCTTATGCGTTGTATCCCTGGCCCTGCAAGGAGCACTGCCAAGGCATGCGCTTCCTTGGATTGGTAATGCCTCCAAGCGGAACCTCGGCCATCAGCATTGCCCCAATTCGGCGAAAGCAAATCGCATGCATGCTGTGTGAAGCCGCTGACCGCCGGCCGGAGCAATTGGCTTGGGTGCAGTGGTCCTTGAAAGCAAGCTGAACCGAGCTTATGTGACACCTGCTGACATAAGCCTAATTGCGATTCCAATGCCCTGAATGATCTGAGCTCGTCGCTTGCTCATGGCGTGCTGTGGGGCCACCGGCCGCAACGGGTCGGACACCCAGGCGCCCCGTCAACTAACACACATAACACATTGCCCTTGTGTTCCGTTCCCTCGTCTTCGGAGCCAAGATGAACACATCGGAACGATGCCGAACTCGACATGTGAAATGTATGACCAATTTGGCTCGTAAAAGGCTTTATTCGTGTTGCCCACACATCGCAAACCACCGACTGCTGGCCGCCCTGCTTGTATGTAGCATGGCCGTCACACTTAAGCGTGCAACATGAGCAGCATGCTCGGCAGCGCGGCGGCGTGCTATAGGCTGAGTCGAGCAAGTCATCAGGCAGCTCTGTCGGTTTGGGGGCTTCGGGTGAGTCTCAGCGCTGAATTGCAGATCGTGGCCACCATCTTAACATGTCCTGATTTCCAGATGTCGAAAAAAGCAACCTTCCACCCTGCATATTTAAACGGAACCGACTGGGGACAACCCAGCATGATACGTTGGTAAAGAACATCCGCAGGGGCAAAGCAGAACCACCACACTTCTCCATCCATCCTTCCTTCCCTGCATCTTGCCCTGCATCTTTCTCTGCATCCTTCCATGCATCCATGCATCCATGCATCCATCCATGCATCCATCCATCCATCCATCCGTCCATCCGTCCATTCATCCAGCGATGCCATGCATTCGGACATTGCGGAACTAGCATAGCGCATGCGCCCTGTCCAAATTCACATTAAACCTCGATCTCCGGAAGGACTGTGGACGGCTTACCCGCGGCGAGGAGAAAACCAGCGCCCCAAACCTCGCAATGTCTGGAATGGCTGGACCGACAATCGGCTGTATTTGGAGCCACACACAGCGGCGATTGTGTCTGCTGAGCCTGACATAGACATAAAAAGCAATGCTTCTTTCCACACACCTGTGTAGACAATCCACAACGCGGCCCCAATGCAACAGACCCAAAACCAAGGCGACACTTTACAGCGGCAGTTAAGGGAAGCGACTTAACGTGCGGGGCGGTTCGGCACGCAAATCCGACATCGGGCCAGCCGCCTAACGAACCCAGCGGCCTGTGGACAACCACCTCCCCCCAACCTCGATGCCGAGGACAACCAGGCGACATCGGTTGCCAAGTGCGAGCTACGAGTAGGGGTAAGTCCGGGCCTTGGCGCGTTCGGCGACCTGCAAAGCTGCCCCAGGGTTGTGTCGACGTCCAGTTCCACGCAGCCCCACAAAGGCAGGCTGTTAGCAATGGCTTCAATGCACCGCTCTGCCGGGAGGGGACGCACCATGCAGAACATGAGTTGCAACAGTCGCCCCGGCCTCCCTGCACACACGCGCCGCAGCTCGCTCGAGGGGGCCCCCACACGAGGGAGCTAACGCCCGAGCGCGGGCAAGCTGCAAGGTGATTACCGCATGCATCATGTTTTCTCTCCACGCACCATTTTGACCGCAGGTAAGTTCGCGACGAAAGAAGTCCCTGTGCCGACGCGCCCTACAGACACAGCTTGCTAGGTTGCATCCCAGCACGCCTCGTCGAGGAGTTCGTGCAACTTTGGCTCTGGGATGCTCCGGGCCTTCACCGAACTCTGCCGCAAGGGGAAGCTCGAGGAGAGAGGCCGCAAAAGCGCGCTGGGCTGCGACTGCCAACAACCCGGACCGGCGCGCAACCCATGCATGCGGTGAGGGCGGCCGGTCTCGAGGCGGCAGGGACGGGCGGCGCCTTATGTCGCGCGAACCTGCTGCCAAGCTCGACACCGACAAGGGCGAGGCGGCATCGCCGTGCTCGGGCGAGTTCTGGGTAGGTATGGTATCGCTTCCGGGGCGCGGCGGCCGTGACCGCGCAGCCCGGCTGGACATCGGCGCCGGGGTAGGCCTCGCCTAGCCGTGTAAGGGGGCGACACGATAGTGGCATCGAGGGCGAGTTGGGACCCGTGCCAGAGGGGGAAACCGTTCGCGACAACTTCGACGCGCCCTGACGCGATCGGCGAGCGGCAGGGCCCGGGTGCGCAGAACCCCCGAGGTGGCACAGGCAGCGCGGTGAGCACCAAAAGGGTCAAGCTGACCGCGACAGCTGCATCTGCGCGGCGCGAGCGGGAGTGGAAGCCGCAGGCGGCGTAGCAGGAGAACACGAAACCAGGCGCTGGGCATGGTAGTGTCATGCCGCATGGGTGTGACAAGCGAAAAGCCCAGCTTGGGACAGCACCAGTGCTCGGGAAGCAGGTGTATAAGTTAGAAAGGTGCATTTTCGTACGCTCGCTTGTCGCAAGCATGGGCAGCGAGTCGCTGCCAGCCCTGCACGGGATGCTGCAGTCGAAAAGCTGCTGCCGCGAGAGGATCGCAGCAGTGGCACGAGGCAGGACGCCCTCGCCGCGCAGCGCTCGGAGGAGGCGCTCAGCAGCGGCGGGCGAGCGGGCCTGGATAACGGGGAGGGCGTCGCACCAAGACGCCCATGAGCTGCGTGGCGGTCGGAGCTGGCACAGCGCAGGCCCAGCGTAGGCAGCCGTCAAGTGCAGGGGCAGTACGCTCGCGGGGCTGCGCAAGACTGGAGCAGCAACCACGCAGCTTGCAGGTCATGAAGGTTAGGGGTGCGCTGCAACAGGCCGTCATGCTCAGCACATGCTCTGGAGATGCTGGGCAACGACAGCGTCGTGGCCGAGAGGAGAACCGAGCACTGTGAGGCCCTGGCGCTCGGGCGGGAGGGACCAGTCTCCGACCAAGACCAGCTCGCGTGGGTCACCTCCGAGGTCGGCGACTGCAGGTGGGTCCTCCCTAGCAGCATTCCAGACGCGACTCTTGCCTGCGTGGAGAAGGATTCGTGCACGGTTCCACAAGGCGTTGCTGAGGGCATCGTAGGGCATCGTACAGGGCACGAATCCTTTCAGGTAGGGTGACGATGTACATGTCATCGAGGAAAGCGAATACAGCCTCAGCATCGCGAAGCTCACCCGCCAAGTCGCATAGCGCCTCAGGTTGCGCCAAAGCATAAAAAGTTCGCTTCCTTCGCCCTGGCTCACCTCATGCGGGCACCCGTCGTCATCAAACCACGTGCAAACGCTCGGAGAAGATTGAAACTGCCGAGCGACGGGGAGGCGCGAGTGGAGCTCGCGTCGGGCAAGCAGCGCCCCGAGCATCGCGCCATGCGAAATGTGAACTGAAGGGACGGCGGCGCGCGGGCACGCTCCGGTGGCAGCGCGGAATAAACGGCTGACAGCTTCCGTTCCAGTGCGGGTGCTGAGGCCATGCTGGTGTGGCATGCACGCATCCTGGAACTGCAAAGCGAAATGCCTTGCGAGCACGCGACCAACAGGCCGCAGGAAGGCGTCACCGACAACGAGGCTCGGACCCTGCCGTTGGGCTTTCGGGGCGCAACCAGGCGGCCGACCCGAAGGCCTTCGAGCACCTGGGGGGAGTTCCGCACGGGCAAGCCGAGGGGCGGCGCCGTGCAGCAGCTGGGCATCTTCCTCATTGTTGAGAGGGATGCGGAGATGATCGTTGGTAGGGCCAGAAGGTCCAACAGCAGAGCCACGCGGGGCATCACGCAGACCGTCAAGGAAAGCCGGCAAGGGCAAAGGGCATTGCTCTTTGGGCGCGTGCCGGAGTGCGGTGTCTGGCAGTGGCGCCTAAGGAGTTGGTGGCCGCCTGTCAGGGTCGCGAAGCTCTGCGAGAGTGGCGCGCGCGCAGGGTGCGACACGAGGGATGTTGCACGTCTGGCCCGGGCAGCGTCTCTATTTGTGTCACTTCTTCGGCGTTTGGAGCAGGTGTGACAGCGGTGGTCGCCTTGTGCAATTCATGTTTGGCGGCAGCAGCAGCAGCAGCAGCAGCAGCAGCAGCATCTGGCTGTGGTGAGGGGCGTGGCAAGCGAAGCTCACGCAGAAGGAGATGGCGATTGTAAGCTCGGGCGAACTGGGCCGTGCAGTCACTACTCAGGGCCGAATAGGGTTCCGCCTATGGTTCAAGCAGGGCCGTAGATGAAGGTGTTCTGTTGCAGGTTCACCATGGTCCTGAAGAGGTAGTTCCACAGGGTGAAACCGAAGGGCCAGTCCCGCCGGAATTGAGTCTCGGCTCGACGTGGCATGGCCGCCGTTCACTTGGGGGGCGTCGGGGTCGGCCTGCCCGGCTGGCAGGTCGAGCCAACACGGCGGCTCAAAGCCAACAGCGGACAAGGAGGCAACGGTTGCGCGAGAAGCGCGAGTGCCGGAGGCAACTCGCCATCGTTCCAGAGGCTATGCAAAAGGCACTGAACAAAGGACCCCATCACGCTGATGCAACACAGGGGGGATATCCGCCCACGATGCCCAAAACGCGGCGGGGGCATGCCGTGCAGCGCTGCGCAAACCCAAACGCCCATGACGAAGAGCTGCTGCGCTCGAGCAACAACTGGCCCAGGTAAGCCCCGCGCTGCTCAAACAGAACCGTGTCGAGGCGCTGTTGTATGGTGGCATCATGGCGGGTGGCATACTCGAAACTCAGCGGTGGGGAGTTTGCGGAAAGCATCTCTGGCCGAGGGCAGGCGCAGAATGAGAACAGGTCGAAGAGAGCGTTGTAACGCGAGGGCATGCAGCAGGTAATTCGGAGGCTTTGTTGCGCCAGGCTCCCCGGCATAGTCACCGAACCAAACGCTCAAGGCGACAGGGCCTGCAGGCCATCGGGGGCAAGCCCAACCACAGCCGGCGCTCTTCCGGCGACTTATCCCTTTTCCCGACATTCGCGCCGATGGCGGGCGCCTCCAAGCCAGCCAAACTTTCGTGTTTATTTGCTGTACCCTGCCAATTCAGGAACGGCCACGAAAGCCAGGACAACAAACCGAAACAAACTCGATAGAGCTCGGTAATTATTGCGTGCATGCATGCTCCGCAATGTGGATGCAAACACATGATGACACATGTATTGCCATGAGAGAGAGAGGCGTGTCCGGAAACGACCGTGGGTCACGGTCAGAGAGCAACTACGACAAGCATGCTGGTTCGTCAACCACCACGAACAAGCCAAGAACAACCAAACAAACAAACCA